TGACGACCTGAATTTAGTTATTTCGCAACAGTGAGGATGTTGATGAAGATATACATGTGTATGGAATGTTGTGATATTTCTACATCTGAAGGTAACAATTCACAGAAGGTAAAATATTCTAACTCATACAACCTATCTTCAAGAACGTGTTGTGTATGACAGAGCATGGATTACCTGACAACACAATACCCAAGTGTGTGATTGGAATATATTGACACATCTGACGTTTGAATTGTATCGACTTCTACGTGTACTTTTTGGACACAATCAGGACACCTTGAGCTGTTTCAAGACACATATAGACACATTAGGACGGGATCTGTGCTAATGGTGTAGTTACAGACGGTGTAACTATTTTTTTGGCCAGTAGACATAAGGTGTGTTTCAGAAACATTGTCCTTGTTTGAACACCAGACAAGACACTGGGCTACTGATAAGTCCTCAAAGTGTAACGTTCTTACGGCCAGTATACAATTCGGTGTATAAAGCACTTAACGTGATATACGAGACTAGACCTCAGTGGCAGGTGCAGCCAAAGTTATAAAAGTCTTTATACGATTTGGATCATTAACTCAGATAATAATTAAAGCTTCCCATTAAAGTAACTCTATGGAGCATGTCAGTGACCTGTTCTAGGAGGTCTTATCCGCTACTGAGCGTGAATTCTACACTGTATCCTGAATGTGATTTGTTCTAATCTGTGGATCTGAGTGAGTTATAATACAATAGTACAGGCTATACTGTGTCATTTCGTAATCTGTATTGACGGATATTGATGTTACCGGTGTTGCACGTGCTGTCGGTGCTCTAGATGTTACCGTGGTGGTGAACGATGTGAGGTCAAGATGACCCGGCACGTCAAATTCAGCCAAACGACGTCCTATGACAAGGATGACTTCAAACTTCCTAGCATTCTCATCAACAACAGGTGAGTAGTTGCTGTAGCCGTCGTCTCACTCTGTCTTCGTCTTAGTCGACGTCGTTGTTGACGTCAAGTGTAATTTGCAATCGTTGCGTTATTGGACACCAAAGTGATAAAGCGAATCTTGCAAACTAAGTCCTGGATACCTGCTTAATAGTTTACTTGTAATGGATATAACGGTCTACGGTTACAACGAACTAAAATCACTATTACCTAGAGTTCGTTATAACCGTATTTACTGTACTCTCAGTCAGATCGGAGACCCGTGAAGATCCAGGATAGAATAGGTCTTCAGCAACCCATGCTTGCCACAAAAGGCGACTACGCTTGTTATAAGAGGCGACTAACGGGATCGGGTGGTCAGACTCGCTGACTTGGTTGACACATGTCATCGGTTCCCAATTGCGCAGATCGATGTTCATGCTGTTAATGACTGGCTTGTCTGGTCCAGACTCGATTATTTACAGACTGCCGCCATATAGCTGGAATATTGCTGAGCGCGGCGTAAAACCAAACTCACTCACTCAGTCAGATCGGAACAAAGGTCCGTTGACCCTGTACACGTTCAGTGATTATATGTCACGGGAACATTTACTACAGACTGTTTGATGGTTTTATAACAAGATCCGCCGTAATAGGACATACATTTGGAAGTCAGCATGCTTGTTGACTCAAATACTAACTCAACATACACAACATACATAAGCCGGTACGCATTTCAACAAGTCACGTGTCCACCCGTAAACAAACAGTCGTTGCCATGGCTGCAGTGCGATCCCAGTTCCACCTTTATCATACCGATCAAACAATTATAAGAAAGAGAAACTGCTCAATGAAACATGCACTGCTCGACCATGAATAGACAAAGAACTCTAGCCTCGAATGACGGCCGATAACAGTCGACGCCTCCACCCCACAGCAAGTAGTTGTTGCCAACATGGCTTCTACCCACAGCGCGCGTGTAGTGTTACTGCCTGCGTGTAGTTTGACTGCGAGTAGCTGTAGGTATTCTCTGTATGGTCGTGTTGCGATGGTAGAGATAGTGGCGAGTATTACGTACAATTAACGGGTACATGGTCTATCGCCGTACGTGGTTGCCAAGGCTTTGTTGTTATAACAGGGTTAAATATTTCAGTTTATGGGTGAAATGTCTACCTGTCATTTTTTTTTAAAAAAGACGAATGCATTACTTGCTTTGAGCAGCAATACCTTGTTCATTTTCTTATGTCGTTTTTGTTGTCTACTGTAATAAACATCAATGTTTATTGTTGTTTATTAAGTGTCGTAATACTCAAATACCACACATATGCCATATACTGTTGTTGTATTCACATGGTATAAATTACATCACCTATATCACATGTTATACTACTCGATGTGGAGTTGTTAGTACTAATATAAAATCAGATTTCTCTAGCTCTCGAAAAGAGAAAAATAAAAAAAGTTCTTTGATTTTATTCCTGGAATAATCACATACATGTCCCCCCTAAACACAGTTCGTATAATTACTCATATAAAATCAGATCTGTCACACTTTTAAAAACGGAAAGCAGAAAAACAATTCAGAGAGGCAAGACTTTATGATCAAATTCATGTTCCCCCTAAAACATAGTTCACATAAAACGAAGTAACTAGTAAACTGTGTAGTGACTGTTAGCATTGGAACCGTGAAGATCGGGTTAGAATTGATCTTCAGTAACCCATGCTTGTAGTAAGAGGCGACTAACGGGATCGGGTGGTCAGGCTCGCTGACTTGGTTGACACATGTCATCGGTTCCCAATTGTGCAGATCGATGCTCATGATTTCAAACACTGGTTTGTCTGGTCCAGTCTCGATTATTTACAGACCGACGCCACATAGCTGGAATATTGCTGAGTGCGGCGTTAAACAACAAACTCACTCACTCCAGTCAGATCGGAACAAAGGTCCGTTGACCCTGTACACGTTCAGTGATTATATGTCACGGGAACATTTACTACAGACTGTTTGATGGTTTTATAACAAGATCCGCCGTAATAGGACATACATTTGGAAGTCAGCATGCTTGTTGACTCAAATACTAACTCAACATACACAACATACATAAGCCGGTACGCATTTCAACAAGTCACGTGTCCACCCGTAAACAAACAGTCGTTGCCATGGCTGCAGTGCGATCCCAGTTCCACCTTTATCATACCGATCAAACAATTATAAGAAGAGAAACTGCTCAATGAAACATGCACTGCTCGACCATGAATAGACAAAGAACTCTAGCCTCGAATGACGGCCGATAACAGTCGACGCCTCCACCCCACAGCAAGTAGTTGTTGCCAACATGGCTTCTACCCACAGCGCGCGTGTAGTGTTACTGCCTGCGTGTAGTTTGACTGCGAGTAGCTGTAGGTATTCTCTGTATGGTCGTGTTGCGATGGTAGAGATAGTGGCGAGTATTACGTACAATTAACGGGTACATGGTCTATCGCCGTACGTGGTTGCCAAGGCTTTGTTGTTATAACAGGGTTAAATATTTCAGTTTATGGGTGAAATGTCTACCTGTCATTTTTTTTTAAAAAAGACGAATGCATTACTTGCTTTGAGCAGCAATACCTTGTTCATTTTCTTATGTCGTTTTTGTTGTCTACTGTAATAAACATCAATGTTTATTGTTGTTTATTAAGTGTCGTGTACTCCAAATACCACACATATGCCATATACTGTTGTTGTATTCACATGGTATAAATTACATCACCTATATCACATGTTATACTACTCGATGTGGAGTTGTTAGTACTAATATAAAATCAGATTTCTCTAGCTCTCGAAAAGAGAAAAATAAAAAAAGTTCTTTGATTTTATTCCTGGAATAATCACATACATGTCCCCCCTAAACACAGTTCGTATAATTACTCATATAAAATCAGATCTGTCACACTTTTAAAAACGGAAAGCAGAAAAACAATTCAGAGAGGCAAGACTTTATGATCAAATTCATGTTCCCCCTAAAACATAGTTCACATAAAACGAAGTAACTAGTAAACTGTGTAGTGACTGTTAGCATTGGAACCGTGAAGATCGGGTTAGAATTGATCTTCAGTAACCCATGCTTGTAGTAAGAGGTGACTAACGGGATCGGGTGGTCAGGCTCGATGACTTGCTTGAGACATGTCATCGTATCCCAGTTGTGTAGATTGATGCTCATGATTTCAAACACTGGTTAATCTGGTCCGGTCTCGATTATTTACAGACCGACGCCACATAGCTGGAATATTCCTGAGTGCGGCGTTAAACAACAAACAAAACAAAACCGTTAGCATTGATGAATTCCTAACAGGGTTTGCGCATGCTGTTCATCCAATGTTGGAAAAACTGTTGCGGTATTGCTGGCTCGCTGCCCACTCTGCCACTAGTCGCATGGTCAGTTGCTGGAGGTTAACGGCAGGGATCTGATAATCCCATCCCAAGCATGCTCTATTTGGGACAAGTCGGAAGAATATACCAATCCATATGTTGAACGTACTGTTGTTGTAGACAGTTCGTTACCACCGTGGCAAGACGGTACGTTACTTTATCGTGTTCGTAAGTCGATCGTTATCGCATTGGAACCAAGTCCCTGGTACAAGCTGATGGAAAAGCGGAATAGCAAGTGGTCGAATAATTGTTGAGATAACGCAAACCAGTCATAATTACGTTCACGATGGAGAGAATTCTCTGGTTCAATTAAATTCCCAGCCCACACCATCACACTTCCGCCTACGAACGGTAGACGTTGATCAACGTTGACGTCGGCATACCTCTCCTTGACGTTTATGAACACGGGAACGACCATCGTTGAAATGGAGCGTGAACCGAAACTCATCAGTTAACACCGTCACTGCCTCCTGACCACCAATCCACCGGATATGACATCAGCAACGATCTCGACGACCCCTTCCGCGACGACAAAGAAGCGATGGGCTGACTGTAGAACACCCTAACCGCAAACCTAGACGGTTCCGAATGGTCTTGTCGGATACGTTGCGGTCGCGGCCAGCTCTTAGTTGATCCCGAAGATGCTTTTCTGTCAGAAAACGCTGTAGGGGTTAAAATATAGAACAGCTTGCAACGGTAAATCCTAAAGCAGATCTCTTCTTCTAAACTTCAATCAAGATGTTCATTTGTCTTGCCATCGACGTCCAGTCACATAACGGTGGTGGTAGCCTTGTGGTTAAAGCGTTCGCTCGTCACGCCGAATATCCGGGCTCGATTCCGATACTATTACTGGCTTACAAAACCAACTCAATATCTTAGAACGTTACACAAACGATTGGAAACTCTCTGTTAATTTCGAGAAAACAAATATTGTAATCTTCAGAAGAGGCGGTCCCGTCGCTTCAAAAGAGAAATGGTTTTTCAATGGCAAGTTACTGACTATCGCTAGGTCTTATGTTTTCTCACACGATGAATTTAAAAAGAAGTGTTCTTTATTTGCACTCCCGTGCAAAGAAGGCTTTCATAAATGTTATGTCTGTTTCTCAGAATATAGGTACCTTCACTCCAAACATATTTTTCAAACTGTTTGATTCACAAATTCAACAGATTATGCTTTATGGGTCAGAAGTTTGGGAGTTTCAGCGTCAAGAATGAGAAACTTCATCTCTTAGCTTGTAAAAGATTTCTAAATGTTGGACAAGCAACGAAAATTGTATGGTTTATGGGGAATGTGGGAGATATCCAGTTTATATAAATTCAGAAATCAGATTTTTAAAGTATTGGCTTAAGATTCTGGAAATGCATTAACAACGTATACATAAAATAGCTTATAATATGCTTGTTCATCTCGATAACATGGGCAAGACAACTTGGGCTTCACATATTAGAAATCTTTTATTTTCTCATAGCTTTGGATTTTGCATGGTTAAATCAGACAGTAGGTAATGTAACGCTTTTTCTTAAACGTTTCCGAGAACAGTCAGTTAATATGTTCCATCAAGAATGGCATTCGACTCTCGTCCTTTAAGAGCCTTATTCAACCAGAAATATATTTATCTGTATTGACATCAAGAAATATCAGACGCACATTTGTTCAGATCCGACTAGGTCTATTAGATTTAGTATTAAGAAAGGTAGAAGATTGTCTATAGAAAGAAATATGAGAATTTGTCCATTGTGCACTTCATCTATACAAGATGAAATTCATTTTATATTTGTATGTCCATATTATGATGATTTTAGAAGAAAATATATTTCAAGTACTTAGCTATCAAAATACCCAACAACAGCCTTTGTCTCGATTTTCACTTCCAGAAATGAAACTGTTATCCGTAACCTTTCTCTATTTGTAAAACATGCTGTTGTCATGAGAAATGATAGGTTATCCAAGTAATTTCATAAGTGTCATTGTATTATGTATTATAGTTATGTGTATGTATGTAACTCCTTGTATATGGGATGGAGGCCTTGAATACAATAAACTTGACTTGACTTGACTTGATTCCCCACATGGGTAAAATATGTGAAACCCATTACTGTAGTCTCTTGCTGTATTATTGCTGGAATATTACTAAAAGCGGCGTAAAACTACACTCACTCAAGTCACATGATTCAACATTTGTTTCTTTTGTCAATGTTGAAAGTTGCCATACAGCTGGAATATTGATGAGTGCGGCGTAAAACAACAACAAACAATGTTAAAAGACATATACTGATTTTCAGTGATTCGTTATGACGTACCCTGACACAGGCTAACATCATTCCATTTAGATACGTACAAAGATGCTCATGATGTTGATCACCCCATTGTCTGGTCCAGACTCGATTACAGATCGCCGCCATATAGCTGGAATATTGTGCTGGAGTGTGGCGTTAACAACCAACAAATAAATATTTACATTTGGCGCAGGTTAAGATTGAGTTAATGCCAAGTGGATGTTAAAGCCCTTGACTTGACAACAACGGCTGACTTCTGGTAAAAAGACTCCAGTTACTTTAGCTCTCGTAGACATGATCTGGGTTCAGCATAACTCTTTCACGACAGTACTATTCGTAATATAAACTACACTTCCTCTTCAACAAAAGCGACCCGTGCAGATCCGGGGTAGAATAGGTCTTCAGCAACCCATGCTTGCCACAAAATGCGACAATGCTTGTCGTAAGAGGCGACTAACGGGACCGGGTGGTCAGGCTCGCTGACTTGGTTGACACATGTCATCGGTTCCCAATTGCGCAGATTGATGCTCATGCTGTTGATTACTGGATTGTCTGGTCCAGACTCGATTATTCACAGACCGCCGCCAGATAGCTGGAATATTGCTGAGCGCGGCGTAAAACTAAACTCACTCACTCACTTAAACAAAAGCACATTGTTTTCCCATTGCTTGACTATTCTCAGATGTCTTCATTCGCCTATAAATCGCATGTATCGACTTTTAAAGGTCTGTGTAAATAATATCCTTAGATTTCAATCCAAAGACTTCACATTATAAGAACATTGTATTCAAGCCAGATATTTTAAAGCCATACCCCCAGCAGCCTTTGTTTGTTGAGACAAATAACCGCCTCGCTGCTCAAGGCGTAAGCCTTCCATTAATACCCCCTAGTTAGGTTTCCAGCTTTACCCCACCTTGCAACTAAAGACACATGTATACAACTATTTATACTTCCAATCAAAGACAATATTAGCCTATATCAACACAAGAGGGTCAGAAAAGCACAAAGTCAGTGACCCGTAAGAACACATGGTCACATTGGGGAGACGTGTACACATATAATGAGTATTTGTACACTAGTGTACGTACAGGTGAGAGGAATGGAGATGGATTTATTCCATCTGAACATTGAAAAATATGCGCCGTTTATGCAGGACAATTCTAGGTAAGTACTGTTGATCGTAACTAAACGTATACATTCTATTAACTGAAATTGAATGTATACATATAACTGATAGTGAATATATGAATATATGTGTATAAATGGTAATAAATAACTGAAATTGAGTACATGCTTAAGAGTAACTGATAATGAATATATGGTAATAGCCAAATGTGTTTAAATAGTAATAAATAACTGAAATCGAATGCATGTTTAAGAGTAACTGATAATGAATATATGGTAATAGCGAAATGTGTATAAAAGTAATAAATAACTGAAATCGAATACATACTCCAGAGTAACTGATAAAGAATACATGTTAATAGCAAAAATGTGTATAAAAATTAATAAATAACTGAAATCGAGTACATACTCCAGAGTAACTGATAATGAATATATGTTAATAGCGAAATGTGTATAAAAAGTAATAAATAACTTAAATTGAGTACATACTTTAGAGTAACTGATAATGAATATATGTTAATAGCGAAATGTGTATAAATAGTAATAAATAACTGAAATCGAGTACATGCTTAAGAGTAACTGATAATGAATATATGTTAATAAAGAACGAAAGGTGTGTAAATAGTAACAAATAACTGAAAGAAATTACTTAGTCTGGACTCTGATAGAGAATATAAAGTTATACCAAAAAGTATATATATTACGAAATCACAATATACATTGTCTGTAGTTATTGATAACAAGAAGTGAATGTATATTGTTCCCGAAATAACTTTAAGAGATTGTATATTTCAGGATGCTGATTTTGAATATGTTATTCGAAAAAATGCGTATGTGCAGTAAGAAATAATTGAAAAATGTATTTGATGCAGTTTGCACTAACTGGTATTAGATATAAAGTAATAACGAAAGCTGTATATTTAATAAGAAATAACTAATGAATAAAGAGTAATTCGACTGCAGTAACTGACAGTGAGTGAGTGAGTTTAACGCCGCTTTGAGCAATATGACGGCGGGGGACACCAGAAATGGGCTTGACACATTGTACCCATACGGGGGAATTTTCGGCGTAACGAGCGAACGCTTTAACCACTAGGCTACCCCACCGCCCAACTGATATTGAATATACTGTACTAACGAAAGGTTTATATACAATACGAAATGTCGATTGTATAGTTCCGACTATATGATGAGCACGTATTTATGAATCACTACCAATACTTGGTGGTAAGGTTCTAGTAGTGATAATACTGAGTGTTCGGGAAAAGGCGAGCTTATCTTGCCCTGCCGGTGGCATCCATCAAAAACACATGCAAAGGCGAGACAATTTGTCACCTGAAATCGGGAACCTGTGATACTAGTCAAAACAAGTGCACCTCGTTCAGCCCTCACACCGAATACCAGCGTCCAATGGTGACGTCCATATTCAGTGAGTGAGTGAGTTAAAATTTAACGTCACATCCATATTCAGAGTTCCCAATACTCACCAACTTCTATGTAACAGAGTATGTTAGCGCTGATCATAACCTAACCCGGACGGAGAAGAGCATTAACAAGCACACATAATAATAATAACATGATGAGGCCAGAGGTGCGAGAATTTCATCCAGCTAGTGTCATGACGTAAAGAAAAAAGTAATCACCCTCAGGGCTCACCAGTGCATAATATGTCCACGATCAAAGCTGAAGGTCTTTCGTGATCACAATGCATGCTAAAAACATCACGAATGAAAACAATCTGATTTATTTGTTCTTTGGGATTTGCGTGAAAACCTTTATAAGTAAGCCTGTGGCGTCAAGGTTATGTGAACAGCTTTGGAACGTATGTAAACACGTTAGGTGTCCCTGGCAGTGTGAGAATTTGTTGTGAAGTATAACAGGGTTGGGCAGAACGGATGGATCGTGTTTGTAACACCGGGTGTCAACGAGAGAGGTAAGCAATGTGGTGGAGTGAAGGATGGTTGAACCTCAATGTCCCTGTGTCGTTTATTGTGAGATGCTGGTAATGTGTATGCTGGCTGTTGAAAGAGGATGCTCCTCTGACGGCGATGGTCTTCTGAAAGATTGGGGTTGGAGTTGAGGGGTTTGGGTGGTTGTAAGACGATACCAGGGTGTGTATTAAATAGAGATCTTGCCCTAGTATATAGATGTTGGGGAAGGTAGGGTCGGATGACGACTGTTCTCGGTATTTGAAAATGATTGCTTTTACAGAAATGATGTCGTGTTGAGTTGAGTTGATTTGAGTTGATTTGTTGTCTAGACCTCAATGTCACTATGACCTATAGATAGATAGATGGATAGATGAATAGACGGATACATAGATAGATAGATAGATAGATAGATGGGTAGACAGACAGACATACAGACAGACAGACAGACAGGCAGGCAGGCAGATAGATAGATAGATAGACGGATAGACAGACAGATAGATAGGTAGATAGATAGATAGAAAGATAGATAGACAGATAGACGGATATATATATAGATAGATAGACGGACGGACGGACGGACGGGCAGACGGACAGACAGACAGACAGATTCATCTTGAGGATATATTTGAAATGTTCATGTAATAGTAGTTGATGAGAAGATCTAACCAGTTCCAATAGAGAAAAACCGTGTTTTACCATCGCTGAGTTGATAGGGTACGCCGTCATTTTCTGGATATTTACGATATTTTCCAATTGAATATGTTCAGGGGGAATAACTCTAAGTTAGTTTTCTGTCACCTAGTAACGTCCAAAAAGCATATAAAAACATACAGTCAAACAAGGTTGTGTCGAAGTTTGAAGGACCTAAGTAAATACTTCGAGTTATCCGATGTTCGACACAACCGCAAAAATGTGACTAAAGAAGGAAAACGTATGGACCAAGCTTTTACGTCGAGACAACTGTTAGTTCGACACACCAAAGTTCGACACAACGGTGTTTGACTCTA